CGTATTTAACGAATACGGTTTTCACCACATCAAGTCATATTTTTCAAATTTCTATTTATTTTTTTATTTTTAATAATATAAAAATCATAAATTACCTAATGAAATAATAAATTATGTAAAAAAATATTGTGTCCATCATTATTTTGTCAAATTCCTTTTTTGGCTAAATTTTAAAGCGTTTTTCAATAATTATTTGTAGAATTACATGAAATCTCTGCATTCGGGAACCAATGATGGTTAATTTAACGAGCAATACTATTTGATTTATTAAACGAATATTCGATACGTTTTATACTTCAAAAAAGAACCATTTCATAGTGCGTAATTTGGCGTTTTATTTTTTCTTCTTATTCGGCCTTTGATAATAAATGCGATTTGCAAAGATTTATTGATATAATATAATACTCACTGTCCAATATTATCACTCCTTATATCTGATCCGCGATCTTCAGATCGATCAGTGGAGTTCTCGAGGATTTCCAATTAAGGGTGGGAGGGTTGGGTAATTTCTAGAAAAATATATAAGGGACAATCGACGCACACCCCTCTATTTATGACATTTAATATTATTTTTAATAATTATAATATAATAGAAAATAACAATACAAAATTGTACGCAATTTTGTTTTTTTTTTATTATAAAATTTAATTTTCTAGACTATTTTGCCAGATCGTCTACCACTTTCTCAGCTGACATTGTTAACCCATTGACCCGGGTCTAAAACAATTAAACAGATACACTCAAGTGCTACGGGTACTAGTAAATTAAACCATACTTCTAAATTAAATTCAAAAAAGATTCCTTTATCATTGGATTTCGCGGATAACTTTAGAGTATTTTAAGACATGAAAAAGTTCTCTCCGGAGTTGCAATAGAAACTGGTAGAGCACACAGAATTTTCAACGGGCGATAGATATTCAGGAATATTTCTGCATTGCATAATCGTAATGCTTCTCGTGCATTTTCGGCATGTTCCTTATTTCAATCCAATTTTGTATGCCATAATTGTAATTCGGCTATTACAATGTCCGTGTCAAAATCGAGATCAAACTGGACCAATTCATCAAATTCTTCAGAATACGTTTTAGAAACCTAAACACATAAACACCCGAATCCTTAGAAAAACCCGTCAAATGGGGGGGAGGTGGTAAAACCCTATGACCCTCCTCCGTGAGTACGCCCGTGGGGTCAATCAAGTGATAATGGTTCGTGATCACTACATACGCGTATACGTATTTTTTCATATTCGTAGTAGGGAAAATTAGGGCGGTCAATAGGGCCGATGATTTATTTATTGCGCGCGTTTATAACCGTCCAAACGCTATGCGCGCAATTGAATACGCGGTTTCGTTGCATAATCACAGCGCGAGTATTTCGATTCATTCATACGATTCATCGTTACGTTTTCGTTCGCAAATAAACGTCGGCACGTGCGCTGCCAACGCTATAGTTGGGGGGAAAAAAAAAAAACTGGGCACTCGGATCCGCTGATTATTATAACAATATTCATGTAGTACTCCATCACCGCGGACCGCCACACTGTTTAAAACAAAATCAAAACCCTTTCATCTTCTCCGCCTGTCTGTTCCGCTTCTTTATTTCTTTTACGGATCGGCCTGTACATTCCGTAGAGTAATATTAATAGAGATTTGGCGTTTCTTTATGAAACGTAATATAGAGGAACGCAGTTGTTGCTTCAATTTCATTTCAAAACGCCTCCTCTGCGTTACTTTATGGGTACGTTCCGGGTGTTTTAAAACTTATTTTTCTTTACTTCATTTATACGCGAGCCTTTCCGTACAGAATTCACGTAGGCGTTGTATTGGCTTTTCAAAATCTTTGAATAATTTAATTCCTATTCAAACCAACGGTAATATGATTTTTTTCTAAAAACATACATAACATAGGTAAACCTATTCACTATTTACTATTTGTTTAGACATGAATATTACGTTTTGTTTAAAGCCGATTTAACACCTGTCGAATACACGTATACGTATAAGATGTACGGGCGTACAATGTGTAGCAAAAGGTTAATCGGCGGCCGTATCCCGTCAAAATAACGTGCTAAAAAAAATTTCGCAAGAACGAAATGTCAACACATCAAACAAAAAAAATCTACTCTTTCAAATTGTTTTATTTGATGTTTTCGTTTTGCGTTTTTCGATACGTCTAAATATATTGGTTTTTACATTTTTATTTTTTTTTTTTTTCGTCAGGCTATCAGATTTTAATATGAACGGGTAAACGCGCGTGGCGGTGAAAGCGATAAGCCTTATACATTTCACAGCCGTAGTTTCTACAGTCACATAGTAAAATGTTTATAATAAATAACAATAATAATTTGTTCGCAAATTCGTATGCGGGGCAAAAACATTTTCGTACAAGCGACAATTCGACCGCAACATTTAGACCGTGGCATTTCAACATGGATTCGACGACGGCGGCGTCTGATTTGCCACACCGTTGTCTAAAAACTATTACGATGTGTACAATTCAATGGTTTATTTGTATAGTTTAATTGTAAATTGTATGGCATTTGCAGCGTGTCGTATTATATGAATTAAGTACTACAGATTCATATACGATTTATTACTAGGCGAATCGCCGCACGAACGATCATGAATTTGGCCTTTTTTGACACAGAATTCGGCCTAACTATCGGTTTTAAATTCAAATTTATTTTTTGATTTCGTTTTGAACGATTTTTATATTTCTGTTGAATTTTGCCGCGGTTAACAGTTAAAATTATACATTTTCTAGAGTTTAGACGCCGCATTCGGCCTCTTTTAATTTTTTCATATTTTTGTTTTTTCCATCGTATAACAAAACGCTCTACGTAAATCCTTGAATGTAACCTCTTTTTAAAACAAAATTTTCCCACTTCTATTTTTTAAAATTTGTATAACGTAGAGAATAGTATTAAGGATGAATTCAGGTCCTTTTTGTTTATCGAAGATTTCATATTTTTTTTATCTTAAATTATTATCTTCGTTAAGTGAATATATTTATCTAAAATAAGGAACGTAATGGTCTTGCAATGAGGTTTATTTTTTTTAATCTGTAAACACCTTTTTACAAGAAATCCGAATCCGATTTTCAAATGCAGTACCTTTTTTGAAATTAAACTTTTTCCAGGGCATTTTTTGAATTTCCAGGCGGTTTTCATAATGATCAAGAAAAATGTTTCAAAAAGGAAATTTCGCTAGTAAGGTAATTTAAAGAAGTTATTTTTTGATTTGATCAAGAATTTTCCCAGTAAATGTAAATAACCGGGATAAAATATGCGAAAACCGGGAAAAACGTAGGAAAACTTGGAAATTCGGTACAATATTAAATAAATATTACTTAAGAAAATATATATAGCTTATTTAATTATTTTACTACAAAATGACATATATTTTGTTGACAAAGCAACACTATCAACTAAACTCCGCTCAGAATCGTTTTTTCTAAGCAATGGTTTATCGTTGCTTATATGGGTATACATTAAATTTTCTATAACGGTGGCTGCATTCGTCCCCATTATCCTCGGACGAATTTTTACGCTCCATAATTCCTACCAGAAATTTTCTTCCAATAAAAAAACAAAAAGAAATCCTTTTGTTTTTTGTTAAAATATTACAATATTATGTTATCATTTTTTCTATACGTAGATGGGTTAAACTCAATAGACTACAGGCTACAACCTATTTTTTATTTTACTTTTTTGAAATATAAATTGATTCTGAAAAATTATATGATTTAGTATACACATTTATACATACTTATAATTTGTGAACCCAGCGATATTTTTATAACATTCATATTGTTAAACATTTTAATAGTAACACACTGTGTTATTATAAAAACAAACCACGATGATACAAATAATCAACGAAAATATAACTAGTTTTGAATAATTAAACTTATTATTAACGTATGCACGATATTTTATATTGCATTATTATTATTAATTGAACAATTCTACCTTCTGTCGCAGAATATTCGCGTACATGCTTTGAATCGCAAAAATACAAATTATTCAAACACATTGTTGTACAATTGTCTACTGAATTATTAGTTACAATTTCTTAGAATTTGAACACAATTCGATTCATATACGTAATATGTTTGCCCACGTGCAAACATGTTGTTATGCAGCGAGTGAAGGCTTGTGGCACTATTCGATTAGCGCAGGTATGAATGGCAAGTTTCCAGAGAGTTTTAAAGGGTCCATACCTCTTTGTCGAGAGATATTAGAGGCATGCTTTGCTTTAATATCCATTCAATGCCAAAAAGTGTATCATAATCCGATTATTCGGTGGATGTAATGCGGAGAATAACACGATAACAAATTTAATATTATTGAAACACCTTTTACTCGATATATCTGATTTTATATATTACAATACAAATTCAATGTAATTATTATACGGGTCTGCAAAATATCGCACTAGTCGATAACTACTAATATCTTAAATCTAATTTAACTAATTTTTGAGTACACGATAATGATAAATTATCGTAAATAAATATAGAAATAAATAACTTATATATAGAAATAAAATGAATAAACGAACGGTAAGTCGCCTGGAGTATTATGATACGTTTATTATACGACCGGTTTCGAATTAAAAATTCATTATCGGGAGTGAAGTCACAGTCGAAATGTAAAACTTTAGTCTTTCGAGAAAGGGTGTGTTCTCATAAACACGTCGATTGTTGGGATAAATTTAACGATAAACGTGCACTACCCAAACCTAAATTGTTTAATTCACTAACTGGTGAGATGTAAAATAATAAAGATTATTAATACGCCCGAAATGTATTGAAGAAATTTGGAATAAACGTTTTAGGAGTTATCCATACAGTAGAGTTGCCGAAGCAGACCGTAAACCCGGTGCTAATGGCCGTGGACGGTAAATAACTGAGCACTGGCTTAGTCTTAATCATCGCAAGTCTAAGGCCGTCTTACTTAATCGCAAGTGCGAATGTAGTAGGCAGTTTCGTGGTGCTAATGAGGCGGTTTTGCCGCTACCTTGAAGTAGTCCTGAACACCAGACTGCCGTTCGGCTCACACCTTCGGACGGTTGCTAAAAAAGTGCCTGAGAATGTGACCATCGCTCTAGGACAGCTAATGCCAAGACTGACAATTTGTGAAGCGCAAGCTTTTCTATGCTTCGCCGGTATGGTCTGAGAGACGTTTGCATACAGCGAGGAACGTGGCGATAATTTTTCTTGTAGTTTTTTTTTTTTTATAACTTGGGCATTTTCAAAAAGAAACATAGAAATAACGAGAACGTTTACGAAAATAATGCACTGTTACAGTCGAATAAATTGTAGGGTTCCTAGAAAGGTATTATGTATATTGTGGATTAACAGGTGGTGAACTTAGATGACAACACGTGTAATTAATACATGTTATTTTTTCTTTAATTTGTAATTTACATTTCGTCATATTCGACCGTTTAGTACAAAAGCTAAATAGTGCCGATACTGGGGATGGGAGCGGCCACTGTTATAGGTGAAAAATTGGGAAAGTACGATACAAAAGTTTATTTCGTTTATACCTGGAAGCATCAATAAACTATTGCTCGACGAAAGACAATTTCGAGCGCAGTTCGGTAGTACACAATTTGAAATGCCTTATTTTTTTTTTTTTTTTGCGATTTTCGTTTAAATTTGATTTTAAAACGCCTATTAAAAAAAAAAAAAAGTTATTCGATGGTTTTAGAAATTCTAAGTCTAAGTCTAAGTATAGTCCAATATAAGTATTATTACCAAGTTTCAAGTCTCAACGTGTATTTATAACTGAGTTACAGCAAAAAACTCTCAACAATTATAATTCCTTAAAGATCTTAAAATGGCTAAAAAGTTTTGGCAATTATACCGTTAGAAATTCAATCAAAAAGGAAACAAAAAAATAAAAGAGGTGTCTTTTGTGTTTTCGATTTAATCATGTTTTCCGGTAGTAAACGTCGTCCGCTTTTTTACAAAATAATGAAATCGCGAAATTGTACGTTTTTTTTTTTTTCCCCATTTCTTTTATGTGAAAAATTGCGTCGAAAATCAAAAAACAGAACCGTTTTCGAGACGTGTCCGGACGGTTTGAGCTTTCGTACAGGTCGCTGCGCCGTAAAAATCGGAGCGGGTTCGCTAGGGAAAAACGCGTCCGCGGGCCGTTAATTGTGGTGACGAACCGACGGGACTGCGAAACCGAACGGTCCCTCCTCGGCTGCGCTCGGTATCCGAAACGCGCAACTCGCCGTACGCGTACGGATATCAAACGCGTGTTGCGTTCGCTGCCGCGGTGAATTTGCCCCCCGAGACACGATACGGCCGTACCGGGCAATTGAATTGTGTCCACCGACCAACGCGGGACGGATCGGAAACGACGCGGCGGCCGAGCGCGCGACGGGCGGACGAGAAACCGCGGTGGTTTCGTAGAGAACGTCCGGTCGCCGCCGCAGCGTCGTGCGCAACGTGCGCGCGTGCACGCGCTGCAGACCGCGTCTCGCGCCCGGCGTCGCGCGTGCGTATTCTCCGGTACGCCTCACACCTTTGTTCGCGGTTCGGCGGGCCCGCGTGTTCGGCGGACGGAAACTGGCGTTCTGGTCGCGCGTCGCGCGTTTGCCCGTCCGCGTCGCGTTGCCGTGTGTCCACCGTGGTAGCGCTAAGACCGCGAGAACAATCGGCGCCCGTAGTGCCGTTACCGTACTGCGGTCACCGTACAGAAAAATGCGAATGTCCGAACGTCACGTCGTCTCGCGCGTTTTCGCTCGCGCACCCGGTTAAGCGCGTAGTTTTTTCGGGGGGTTTTTCCGCCCTTCCGTGTTACCGGGTCGGCCCGTCCTATTTCCAGCCGATAATAGACCGGGCGGATAGTCGGACGGACCGTTTGTTTTAACCTGTTACGCGCGTTACGGCGTTTCTATTTCTGTTCACCGTTCGTTTCTCGGTTTCCGAGTAGCCCAACGTAACCCGTAGTTCAACGAAAATAATTTGATTTTCATACCGCAAATACCCAAGAACCTTCGTTCGTCCTCTTCTAAAACACCGACCGAGACGAAGACTATCCTGTCTTTCGAGTGGACATTGTCGAAATCGGTCGAAATAGTAAACTCGTCGTACACGCGATTTGTACGTATAATATACGGGTGTTATTGCGTGCGTTGCTTAAAAAAAAAAAAAAAAAAATTATCCAATTGTGTATTTATCCGAAAAAATCGCGCAGCGGACGAACTCGGCTGCCAGTTTTCATCTGTGTCCGGAACGCTTTAGACATAACGTTTTACGAACAGCGTTATTTTTTTGTATTTAAATATAACATTTTCGCCGTCTTATAATTGTTTATAAACAAATTTTCTCGTGGCCGAACGCGGGTCAAAAATAATCCGTGTGCATTGTACACGTTCGGTCCAACAATAAACTTGCTTTAGGACTCGCTTTATTTCCAACCGTATAAGACATTTTATCCACCGTGTCTATCGGATGTCGGATATTGTTGTATTTAAATGCGTAGGTTCCGCGAATAACGCTTATTTACGACGCAAATTGTAATAGCGCCGCCCGCGCGCACATTATCCGATGCAAATCGTACTTGTTTAACGTTCGCGCAACACGGAAATTTCTATTTTAATTATTACTTAAAAATCATTATTGTATTATAAAACAGCAGTGTGAACTTCATTGCAATTCAAAACGTGAGTGGTTATGGAAAAGTTTGCGCGGGATACATATTATTAGCCTTTGTTGCGTACAACTTTACAAACAATATGCGCGCGGTCACGATTGTTATAACAAAAAGCGTCTTATTGTAATTATTATACGCGCGTAACAACATCGGCGAACCGTAGTTTTTTCGGTTATTGATATTTATCAGAATACAAAACGTTATTTCGCGTATGTGAAAACAACGTAATCGTCGAACGGGTCAAGGAAGTTTGTCGGATATTTTACTGTACTTATCGGCGAAAAAAACAAACTTTACATTGTTGGCGAGACGTTGTTTAGGCGAACCAATTCGGTGACCCGAAAATGAGCAAAAGTAAAACGGATCTATCGATTGTTCGTGTAACGGACAGCCCGTTACACTTGCACCGGTCCAAACATTCGCGTCTTTCAATGTACGACGTGAACAATTTTACAAGACCGAAAAAACTGAAAAAACCAAATCGTTGAATTTAAGGCATAAGCTGTTGGGAACTTCGATAAATATTTCTCTGGAAATATCACATGTTGTAATACGCGTATTATAATTCGTAATTAAACTAATAGCTGTTTCGCTATACTACCGAGGAATTCAAGACTGGTTTCGTTGCCGGGAGATTTCAATATATTAATACACCCGTCTAGTTGGTCTCGGATCAGAAAATTACTTAATGCAAATCGGTTTCCTTTTTTGCGTGCATTGAAATACGATAATTTAGCCCAGATCGTAGCAGTCCGTGTTCCGATTCCGAGACTTGATGTATAATTATACTCGTACGTAGGCGAACGTGTCTGATCCCGAGGAAAAAATAAATTGATTTTACGGATGCGTGATAAAGATTTAGTAATATGTTATTACCGATAAATCCCAAGTTCACGGGGTGTCTTTAAACTTAGACGCGGGTCTGTAGACGATTTGTCTACGCTGCGCATTTGAAGTTACTCGACCGTAAACGATAACATAAAGCCGTAGAGTCATAGTCGTTGTCATAACCGAACAGAAAAGTGAAAAGTATTATATAACGGCGTTGCATTTGAATACGAACGTGCAATATTTAGTTCACATAATGAATAAGCGAACACTGAGTAATTAAAATAATTTTCGTATCAATAAGACAATAACACGGGTGTTTAAATCACTTCGGCAAACTAAAAAGTATTCATTACGCCCTGCTGTCGTGCCGTCGGTTATTAATGTTCTTTAGTATGTGATAACGAGTAACGCGAAGACGAATAGAGTAAAAGAGAAGACGGTATTCGTTAAAAATCGATATTTATTGTGACGGAGGGTGACGACAAGGAAAAAGACCACCCGGGTGCCAAAATCCTGAATCCTGAATCTTTGCGCGTACGCACGAATACCGTATGATTTGTTTTAGATTCTTAGTGTAGCGAAAAATGTATTGTTGGTTTGTTATTTTTATTTTTTTATACTGTGTACAAAAATTCTACCGGCGATCTTGCTCAGATATTTACGCGCGACATCATTTCCGAAAGGGAATGACGTAAAAGTACCAGATGGTACTTTTGGGAGGTATGTTTTTGATTTTCCTTGCGGTTTTCACAATATCTGAGAAAACCGGGATAAAACGTAAGAAAAACAGGACATTTAAGAAAATAATAACTATAATTATTTTTAAATTTTGTTATTCATTGTAATTCAGTTGAAAATATCCGTAGAGACTTAAAAATTGAACAAAAACTTATATATTCTTTTTCTAGACATTGTAACATTTTAGCCATGTTAAGGCTTTTTATAAAAATCAAAATATTTTTGTTGATATTTAGTTAAAAATATTCGTATCGACTCAACGGGCTTAAAATTTGAATAGATGTCTGCCTTTTCCAGGCGTGGTAAAACTTTCCGAAAATGCTAGGCATTTTTAAAATATTTCTAGACATTTTAGTTTTGCTCGTAATTTTTTATTGGGTAAGCACTCAGTGGTTATATTGTTAAACTCAACGATTGAAAATTGAACAGACGGTTCGTTAAAAGCCTTATTTTGTGGTAAAAAAAATTGATTTTAATGTATTATTATTATTTTTTTATTTATTTCTTTTTTTTTTCTTTTTCCATTTGCACATTAAACATCGAAATACATAACCGGCAGCGACGGCGACGACGGCGGTATTAGCCGCTCGGGTTGAAAATATTAACATATATATTTAACGAACCGCCGCCGAAATAAGTAATTTCTTAGTCACGCGCGCGGTCCCCCGTTCAGAATGATGACGCGCCACTCTATATAATATAGGGTTAAAATTATATTAGCCCGGCCGTTATTATCCCTTTACACAATAACACTACGAACACACTACGATTATCATAATGTGTATACATATATATATATGTGTGTGTGCGTGCGTGTGTATGTGTGTGTGTGCGCGTGCGTGTGTATGTGTGTGTGTGCGCGTGCGTGTGTATGTGTGTGCGTGTGCGCGCGCGTGATAATATATAGTGTGTAATACAGGAACGGGCGGGGGAGG